AACACATGGTCCGATAGCTTGGCAGGTCTGGCCTCAACGTTCGGCCACATAGGCGCTTCCAAAAAGGCAGGGGGCGGCGGTGATTCGCCGTAGGCGTCTTCGACACCCTCACCCCTTCCCAGACGACATGCAGCCAGCCAAGAACAATGACCCCCCCGCCACCCCTGTCAAACAAATAATTCAACATACATCTTGCGGCAAGATCTTGGGTCATGCTCGTGGGCTCCGCGAGCACCTTGCGTTGTTTCTGCCCGGGACGGCGGGGGTGATCATGTTGTCTTCTGTGCGAAAAGCCGCCATCCCTGGCGGCTAACTCTGGATCATGCGCGGCCGCGCCGCGACCATCGTCCCTGGTTTTTGACAAGGCCGGCGGGGGCTGCTGGCACATGGCCTGCTGTGTGCAAGCCCCCGGGCACCATGATGGCCTCCCCGCCGCGATTCTGCGCCGGCCTTCGACGAGGACGGCGGGGGCCGATCTGTTTCTCGATGCGTGCTGTCACGTGCGCGGGCGCACCTGGCACGCTCTGCGCGTGCCCCGAGCGTGGCGCACCTGGCGCGGCTGGACATGGCGCATGGGCCCCAGGGCTGCCTGGTGCACCCGACGCCGCCCCAGCGTCGCGCACATCATCAGGTCTGTTTTGGCTTCCAGGAGCCGTGATCCATAGACGACCGCTGAACACGCTGAGGCTCGGGTGCTACGAGTGTGCTGGGAGGGCGGGTGGGAGTGAGCGAGACAGCTTGCGGGCGGGGAGGGTGTCTTGACCCCTCCCCCCACCCTTCCCCAAACCTGGAAGGGGAAGGGGGTCGCGAGGCGCTGGAGCGTCCAATACGGCCTCGGCGAGAAGGCGCAGCTCAGAGATGTTACTAAGGGTTTGCGCCAATTTTGAGCTTCCAGGGGGGGGGGACCCCCTCATTTGATCGATCACCTCCAAGATGCTCCGAGAGGCTCCCAATCGTGCCCCAAGTGGCGCCCAGGAAGCCCCAACAACCCCCCACGACGTCCCGAAGAGATTTCCGAGAGATCCGCAAGAGGTCCCAAGCGGCTCCCCCGAAGCGGCCAAGACGCTCCAAGAGGCCCTCGGGACAGCCAAGAGGCCCCCTAGACGCCCCAAGAGAACTCCAAGAAGCTCTCGAGGGACATGCGACTCCGAGAAGTATCCAAGAGGCCTCTGGCCTTTCTGCTCGCCCTCATCCTCCCGTCTTCGTCCTCCTCGTCCTCCTCCTCCTCCTCCTCCTCCTTCCTCTTCTTACTCATCTGCCTATCCCTCCTCCTCCTCCTCCTCCTCCTCCTTATCCTTCTCCTCGTCCTCCTCCTCCTTCTCGTCCCCCTCCCCGTCTCCCTTTCACCGCCTTTTTCTCCTCCTCCGAGTACTCTTCATCCTCCCCTTCTTGGGGTATGACAGCTCCCCCATCCCTTTACTCCACTGCCTGCGTCTCCACATCCCTGATCAGGGCAACTCGCCTGTGTATCGTTTCTGGATTGGCTGGTGGGGTTACGCGAAGCACCTAGGATATTGCCCCAAGACCCCCCAGAAGCCCTGTAGAGTCCAAGAGGGTTTACCAAGCCTTCCAAAAGAGGCCCCTGCGAGCCACCCTCCAGAATTCCATCAGCCCTCTGGGCGTGATTTGTCTGGCGAGCTCGTTCTGCTAACTCCCTTCTTCCCCTTCGGGGAGGGGCTGTCCCCTCCTCCTACCCACACGGGGTTTGGTGGTGGTGGGGGGCATCGCGATGGGTTAGAGCGTCCAAGACGGCCCAAGATGGCTCGAAAAGGGCTCCTAGATAGCCCAAGACGGTCTCTCAGATCGTTCACGATCGCCCAAGATGATTCTAGATAGCCTCCAGCATGCGCACCAGAGCCTCCGAGATCGCTCCGAACGGCTCCAAGCGGCCACGGAGCTTCGCAAAGAGTCATCCGAGAGGCCGTCATCCTTCCCAAACCCGAGGATCATCAATGTGCTTTGCATTCGGCCGACCGACTTCCGAGGCCTCTGGGTAGCTCCACGATGGCACGAGAGAGCTCCACGGGGGCGCGCAAACAGGTATCAGCGATCCATGGATTTGGCGCGCGGTCGCCAAATCCATGGATCGGGGGAGGTGCCCTCCCAAAATGCGGCCGGTGTCGCCCCCTTCGGCGGCGGAAATCGGCGATTTCCAGTGGAAACGGGACCCGTCGCTAATCCACGCCCCCTTAATCCATGGTTGCGATGGCCTGATCTGGGTAGCTCTAAGATGGCCCGAGAGAGCTCCAACAACAACAACGAAGGTCCGATCGGACGCCCGAAAGCGTCACGCCCCACTCGAGAGAGTTCCAAGAGGACCCAAAGAGGGCTCCGGGGTGGAGGCACGACCACTCGCCGCCCCCTTTTTTCGAGTCGATGGCCCCAAGAAGGCCTCAAGAGCCTTCAAGAGGGCTCCATCGTCTCCTCCACCCCCCCTCCACACAACCTCAAGACCGCCTTTCCCTTCCCCTGGCGACTACTTTTGAATGGGTCGGTGGGGAGTCGCGAAGCGTCAAGAGTTCAAAGCCTGAACATCGTTCCTTTCTGTTTAGTGTCCGTCATCGCCTGCCACCCGCTTGCATCTGGGAGAGCCGCAAGAGGCCCTGTACTGGCCCCTACGGCCCAGGACTCGCCCACCCCACCCCCCCAAGGTGCCCCGCCCACGCACACTATTGTTACTATTTTGGTGTGCACTGAAATCGTGCTTCAATGTTTCCAGCGGTTCCTCGTCCTCGGCAACAGCGCGTAGCACCATAGCGAAGACATCATCACGACGACAACTGCCGCCCGACTCCGCGCCTGCGATAGTAAGCGCGTGCAGCCCGTCCAGGCGCTCGCCGGGTAATACTATACAAAAGCCATCAAGGCGTCCCCCACTGAAGGGGGCCATGACATGTTCACCGTAATTATCTTTGTGCCTCAGAAGCCAAACTTTCAGACTCCCTGCGTCGCGGGTGGCTGCTAGCGTCAGGGACCTCGGCCCTCAAAGACAACCAAGCTCCAGAGGAGGTCAGGAACTCCGCCTGACAACGGGCCGAATACGACCTGCGACCGATTCGAGACGGCCTCTTGGTCGCCGGAGGCGGCCACCGCATCCTCCGAGTGGGGACTCAAGACTTGGCGGCGCGCACAAGGGGGTGGGGGGAGGGGGGAGGGCTTCTTAGAAGGAGGCTGCTTCTTAGAAGGCGCGGGCCTTCCATCTAAAGTCAAGACTCGCGCCTTCTAAGAAGCAGAGGTGCTTCTAAGAAGCCCTCCCCCCTCCCCCCACCCCCTCTGCGCGTGGCTGAAAGACGCCCACGCCTACGTCCAGAAGACGGCCCAAGACGGGCTCCGCGACCATCACAGAGTCCTTGCGAGGCCCCGTAGGGCCCCTCTTCCGGGTGGCTCCCCAGCAGGCTTCAAGCCTTGGAGCCAGCTAGGGGGTGGGTCTGAGCTGGATGGGCCCCGGGAAAATCGACAGGGGGGGAATAATGTGAAGGGGCCCCAGGACACACAAATAAATACACACACACATAAAAATGTTCCCCATATTTTCATATATTTTCTGGGTTTCTGTCTTCCCCCCCACTTCCTATATTTTCCCATGTTTTCTGAGGAATCGAAGATTACTTGTGTCTGTGTGTTTCTTCCTCTCCTGAATAATGGCAAATCCGCTCGAAATCGGTCCCTGGATCCCTCCCCCCCCCCTTGGCCCGAGAACTGCCAGGGAGGCCGACGAGGGCAGGCGACCTTCTCGAATCCAGTGCCCCCAACCTCGCCCCCCTTCCTGCTGGTCGGAGCCAATGCTGGGCCACCTCGCACCCCCAGCCGGCTCCAGACCGAGACCCGAGACCCCCATCTGCGTCAGCCCAGTGCCCCTAACACGGCCCAGAAGCGGCCCAGGCCAGCCCCGGCCAGGACACCCCCCAAGACGGCCCCAGGATCCCGAGACCGCGCTCAGACGGCCTCGAGGCACTCAAAAGCCCCCCAAAGAGGACACCCAACAGGCCCCGAAGAGGCACCACCACGAGCATCGCGACCACCATGCGTGAGCATTGCTTCACCGAACCCTGTTCCCACTGGCGTGGCCTGGGTCACAGTGGCGGATTCCTCCCCCCAGATGGGGGCGGATTCCTCCCCCCAGATGGGGATATAGGCTGTTCCCTTCGGGTTTCGGGGGGCATATCCCCAACTGGGGGGTGGCATGGTGGGGCTGAGATGCCGTGGCCCGGTGGAGATGGGGACAGGTTGAACGATCCTGACAACAGGCCCCGAAAAGGCACCGCCACAAGCATCGAGACAACCATGCGCACGACGACGACGATGACGACGACGACGACGACGACGACGACGAGGGGAGGCGGGGAGAAGAGAGCAGAAGGACGAGGAGAACGAGGAGGAAGAGGAGGAGAAGCGGAGAGAGGAGGAGGAGGAGGAGGAGGAGGAGGAGGAGGAGGAGGAGGAGGAGGAGGAGGAGGAGGAGGAGGAGGAGGAGGAGGAGGAGGAGGAGGAGGAGGAGGAGGAGGAGGAGGAGGAGGAGGAGGAGGAGGAGGAGGAGGATGAGGAGGAGGACAGCGCCGCGGAGCTGCTTCCCACCGGGACGGCGGCGGGTGGGCGCCGCAGTGCGACGGGGCCGCCACGCCGCAGCTGCGCGAGCTCCCTCGGGCTGCTGCTGCTTGGCCTCCGTCATCTCCTGCGGTGCCGTGGCCGTCCCAGGAAAAACAAATGGCCAGGGAAGAGATCGGGGCTCAGGTTGGGCATGTCCTCCTACAGGCGTATTTTGAAGGAAAGATAGAAGATACGACAAACATGCACCAAAATGGCTACAAACAGTCAAAAAATCGTCAAGCAATCAAAACACAACGCGCTCGGCAGCACAGCGGGTGTGGCTGGCCGGAGAGGCGCGTCGGGGCGCGCGCCGATGGCGCAGCGCTCGTGCCGAAGCCAGCGCCCGGTGCGTCTGCAGTCTCTCCGCACTCCTCACCTCCGGCGCACCTTCGCTGGGACCAGGCCGACTCGATTCAGGCTGTGCCGCGACGCAGCGGAAAGCCACTCACCGAGTCCAGCGTCGAGACCTCTGTGTGTGTGGCGTCGCCGCACGTCCCTCTCGACTGTGAGGCGTTTGCGTCGCTCTTGCTCGCCCACCAACGGCCGATCGAAACAGGCGGCATATGCGTGACTATCTTGCCGCTTTGCACCTTGCTGCGATGGAAGCGTCGATTTAGCTTGCCCCAGGCGTCGTCGCCTATACAAGCGTCCTCAACCATATCCATTATAGTGTCGTGCTGGTTGAAGAGCAGATCGTCGCACTCTGCGCGCTTGCTCGCCATGTTAAACTTCTGGATAAAGGCATCCGCATAACCCACGCAGAACCTTAGCGCTCCAGGGTGCGCCATGGCGATCGACTGGAACTCAGCTGGTAGCACCGTGAGGAGCTCACACCCAGCAGAACCAGCCCTGAAAGGTCCGTCCACAAGGGCAACCTTTGACCACAGCGCCTCCTCACAGGCCCACTGTCCCTGTCTGACATCCAGGGGGGACGTTCTGTGGTCCCTGTGGCAGTACGACACCAGTCCAACACGAACAAAGAACATGCGGTTCACGCTCTGGCCGTCCCAAAACATCTCTTCGAGCGGCAGCATTGACACCTCGTCCGTTGCGCTGGCGCAGATCTGCCGCATGCCCACGGGGCAGGCTTGCATATAGAAATCGAAAAACGGATGGGCTTTGAGCAAAGGCGTGAACGCCTCGTAACGCAACTCCTCTTGGCGTGAACGAAGCGGGTCCTGAGGCAAACGGGTCCTGGACCCCGGGGCCTTTCCCCAAGACCAACTTTTCGTCCCGAGGCGTTTTCTGAAAGTCCCTGGCCGGGGCCAAGAGCGCAGAAAAACCTTATGATCCATTTCCCTCTGGACCCGTTTTCGTCACGGCGAATCCTCGCGGATGGCCTTTGGCAGCAGTTTCATGCACGGCATCTCCGTGTCCTTGATGCGCTTGTTCGCCATGCGCTGGTGCTGAAGCAGGAAGTGCTTGCAGCGGGCAGCGAGCTCCCTTGGAATGCAATACTCGCTGAAATCCGACACACTGCTTGCACGGATTGGGCGTATTATACTGCAGGGCGTACCGCTCGGACAAAGACGAGGTCGAGCTCACGACACGCCTCAGCTCAGACCGCTCGGCGGAATTAAGCTGCACCTAAGATGCCACTCAACTCCTTTCTGTTAGGCTGTTGCACGGGCACGGTGGCGGGGTTTGCCGCAGGCAGCTGGATACTTTCGCATGATTATTTCCTGCTCGGCCTTCCGAGCGTGAGTCGATCGGAGCAGGGCCATCGCCTGGGTGATACTCGACACGAACGACGAGAAGATCACCATGGCGACGATGATGACGACACAGGTGAACAGGCGCTCGTGGACGTTCACTGGCACGACCTCCATGGACGCGGGCGTGAACTGCGTGAGGGCCCAATGCATGGCTGTCCGCCGGGGCCCCCTTCAGAGGAGGACCCGAGGCCCGACAGCGGGCGGGCCGTGGGCTCGTTCAACACCACTCCTGGGCCCGAGAGCTCCAAAGCCTCCCTCTACCGGCCCTTACAGTCAACGCGCCTAGTAAGGACGCGCGCCTTCATCTAAGATACCCTTGCGTCCTTGCCTCTGTGGCCCGTCCTTTGCCGTTCTCACTGGTCGCCGCCGCCCAAAAAATCCCAACTTCAGCCTCCAAGGGTCTTGCGTCCTTACCACGCGTCCTTAATATACGTTTTGACTGTAGTTGCCTCCAACTTGGCCCAGGTCGGGCCTGTCCCCCTGTAGGGGGATTTTGGACGAAAAATAAAAGATCCTAAAACAAATATCAAAAGATGCCCACAAGTATTCAAAACATAACCCCCAGCTCTAAAGCCTCCCTCTACCGGCCCTCAGTTGCCTCCAACTTGGCCTAGGTCGGGCCGGTCCCCCTACAGGGGGATGTTGAACAAAAATTAAAACATACGAAACAAATTCTAAAAAAATGCCCAAACATACTCACAAAATAGTCTCCGGATTATGTTTTGACCATTTTTGAATCTTCCCCCTGTAGAGGGACAGGCCCGACTTAAAACTTGGCCCAACACAACGCAAGGTGGCGCCCCAGGCCGCCAAGATTGCCCGAGAAAGAGGGCCAAATACGGCTCCACCAGCGGCCCCAGCTGGCCCAAAGAGGACTCCGTGATGCCCTTGGAGCCTCCTGGGGACGCCGCCAAAACCGAGTGAAAGTGTGTGTCTGTGTGATGCTCAATGGTTTCGCCGTTCTCGCCTCCTGCTCCACCAGAGCTCCCAAGTGGCCCACAGGCCCCGAGGGAACCCAACACGAGCCCAAGAGGAGCCAACCATGGTCCCAAATGGCCGCGGCAGGGCCCTCACAGCCCCGAGGAGGCTTCGACATACTTCCAAGAGGCCACCTATACGACCACCGTTCGGGTGATAATGAGGTTGTGGGTGGGGGGAGTTCAACTTTCGGTGTGCGATTGGGGTCGTATCGGATTTGGCGGAAACCAGTTGGGCACCACGGAGCACCTGTTTGGCCATCTATCTATCGAACGATCTCACTATCTGCCTATCGACGTCACGACCGATTTCCCTCGATCGAACTTACAAGCTATCAATCTCACAAATCGAACTCGCTATCGATCGCACTATCAACCCGTCTATCGATCTCACTGTCGATCTCACAGTGGACCTCACAGGACACCACGGGACACCGCGCCACAGGACACCATGGGACACCGCTGGACACCACGGGACTCCGGCGGGACACCCCCGAGCCACCGCTGGCCAACCGGGGGGTGTAGACACATTGAGCTCAGCTTCGCCCTGCTATTTGTACCTACGGCGGGTTCTTTCCGCTCCAAAAGGACCTGGACATTTTTCCGCGGGCGGCGAGGCAGAGGCAGTCCGCTCCTTCGTGTGGCCAATCGGGGCAACCGACAGGCGAATTGTCAAGCGTGCACGAGGAAGGAAAGAAAACCAGGGCGGCCGCGAGAGGGGGGGAGGGGGGAGGCGCTCAGACGTGGAAGAGTTCCGCGGAGAGCAGGCAGAGGACCCGAACGAGCAACGATAAAAAGTCAAAGAGAACACCCAGTAGGCGCCCACAGTAATGCCAACGCTGGCCTGAGGGCCCCTTCCTGGAGGAGCTGGAAGCAGCACTCCGACTTGCGTATCTGCGTGCTGACATACAGTAGGAGCTCGACCACAAGAACCCTTCCACAAGAAACCCAACCATGAGACCCCCGGATGTCCATTGTTTTTTTGGTGTGGGAACATCACGCCTTCCACAGCCAAACCATCGAAACACACGAAATCCAGGGCACCCTGGAGGCAAGCAGGGTGTCTCTTGGCATGGGTCTCCACTGTATATGCGTGCTGACCTGGGACTTCAGTTTGGTAGCGCCAAGCGTACACTGATGCAGAGGGTCGCTCGATACTCACGCCCGTGCTGCCCTCGACCTCATTCCTTCTTCTTCATCCTGCTGCTTTATCACCCCCTTGCTCCCCCTTCAATTTTTCTCGTTTTCATCCGCATCGCATCGGTCCTCCGCCTGTTCCACTCGGTCCTCCACGAGGCGCCCAAGCACCCCGGGACATCGTGAACAACCCTGCGATCCGACATCACGACACATGTGGAACATCGTACGAAACTCGACTGGAACCCTGGGCCCCGTCCTCCTGCGGCAGCTCTCGAGCCAGATCGAGCCGTGAGGAACATGGGGCCCGAATCAGGGCACGATCGCCCGCTGTGCCAAAATCGCGGCGCCAAGATCTCAGGGAAATCCTCTCGGGGTGGACGGAAAAGCGAAAGCCCCTGGGGATCAAGTAGCCGTACGCCTCGGACCCGTCCGGGTCCAAGAATCTGTGCCGCCACGTCTTGGCCTGGCCCTCCGCGCCGGCAAGCCAGAACCACACGCACGCCACGTAGTGCGTCACGAGGATCAAGATCACAGCGGAACAAGAAAACGGCACGAGCATAAACTTTGGTGGGAGGAGGAGGAGGAGGAGGAGGAGGAGGAGGAGGAGGAGGAGGAGGAGGAGGAGGAGGAGGAGGAGGATTTCCAGGATTTCCGCCATCACGTAGTGATAACCAGGCTTGAGTGCTCAGCACTTCGGAAACAGGCCACGATCAATCCTGTCAAGGTATTCGCGCCTGGCCTTAGAAATTGGAAGCTTGCACGGTTCCCCCAGGCCTCTGAGCTGGGCCTGGCCGAAGAACCCACATGTGCGGCAAAACCAAATTTTAAGGTCTTTATGATAGGTCAAGGCGTGTGAGGGATGAGTCCAGCCACCAGCTAAGTGTAAACGCCGCCCCTTAGGAACTCGACTAAGCTCACCGTTCACATGCTGGAGATGGAAGCACTCACTTTTTAACCATTCGGACACCACCGCCTTGGTCGCGGAGCCTTTACACACACTGCACGCCCTCCCGCTTTCGGTCAGGGTATGTGCGGACGCGAAGCGTGCAATAGCAAGAGGGGGGGGAGGAGGAACTCTACCAGCACCCCGCACTCTCTGGTGTCCAGACAGCTGGGACGCTCGAATGGAGTCTAAGCCGACACGCAGCAACCTCCTCCGAACAAGGCGAGCACGCTGCTCAACCTCTTGGATTTTGTGACGTTCCTGAGGGGAGACCCGCGCAAGCTTCGCGGCCTCCCCTGCAATAGCATCTACACACGAGTTGCCTAGCACCAACCACGAGGGAAGACCTCGTGCCAGAACTTCAGCTCCAGACAGATGAGACGGGATCTGAGCGACAACTATACACGCTGGAGATCGACCCTGCGTGGTTAGTAATTTACCAATTTCACGCCATATGTCGGATTGTGGGCCTCGAGGCCTGCGAAAAAGCTCGGCGTACCACCCGCGGGCAACTTCGTCACAGTCAGTGACATATAACATTTCGCCTACACTGAAACGCAAGGCCCATTCAAAAGCCCTGAGTTCACCTCTTGGAACGCTCTGTGCCGTTCCCGTGAGGGGCCCCAGCAAGAAAGGCCCCAGGGCCAAAGGATTGTAACTAGTAAAAGTGGCGAGCCCTATACCTACCCGCCTGAGCCTGGTGTCGAGAGTGTCACGACCCCCAGACGCGTCTCCGAAGACCACCAGAGGCTCCGGAGCAGTCCCCGTGCCTAAACAGCCGTCCCCGAGACCGTCATTCCCGAGACAGCCTCCAGAAATCAGCTCGACAGACGGGGGAGGAGAGATGGAGGTCCAGGCGGAGGGAATGAGCCCTCGCATCCAGAAACAAGGAAACGCTTCCGCCTCGACCACTGCTTGCGGAAGTAAGTCGTTAGACTCTTCAAAAGCACGCGAGCCCTGATTCTTTGAGCATGTCCAACATCTGTGCAGAGGTGTGTCTTGCTCCGTGCCACAACGGTCGCACAGATCATCAGCTCGAAGTCCCGCTTCATGACTACGTACCTTCGGCCACCAGCCTCCAGTCGCCACCGTCACCAACAGCTCGGACAACTGACGGCCCTTGCGGGCGTGCAACAAATCTGCAACCATGGCTCTCAAGGAGGTCATGTCAGCACCTCCTTCGAGGCCGCCTCCGCAGAACAAAGCCGGCGCTTCCTTCCACTGCTTCAGCTCGTATGTGCGCTCAAACTCCGCCAACAACGGGGCTGCCTGTTCCAGCACCTCAAAGTCACTACTGTCGAACTGCCAGGCGTGAACTTCAGCGGTGCCGTCATTTGGCACGTCCCAGTCCGTGGGAGAGTTAGGCGACCATCCCGCTTCAAGCAAATAAAGGATCACCGTGGTCATGGGGCCGCGCACGTGCCGTGTGCGCTGGCCCTGGGGGAGAGAACGTAGGTGCGCCACCGCACGAGGCCAGGCCAGTCGGATAGAACGTCGTAGCCCAACCTCCGATAGCCACACACTCAACCATTGAGAAATACATTGCTTGGGCAGCAGGTGGCCAGGGTCGCAACCTGGCAGCCGAAGCGAGAGTAACGTCGTCAAACATCTCCCTCGCCTCGACGATCCTGCAGCCGCTCCTAGCCGACGACGCTGGGCCAACATCGTCGACCCGAATTGGCCGTGGACTTGATGTTCGTAGACTGCTGCTGCTTGCGGTCCAGCCCGTTGAAGTTTGCCAGACGCATGCCAGCGACGAGCAGCTTGAGCGAAACGCCGTAGCCGAGCATGCGACTGCCCCGACTTCAGCTGCCGCTGCCGTACTGTAGCTCGACCTTGACGTCGTCCGCTGCTGAGGTCGACCCCAAGATATGCCGTCTGGAGAGCTGCGCGCAGGTGGATGCCCTTGCGCTTCAAAGCCCTCACAACCGCGATTGCATCGGCATGATGCGAACAAGTGATGATGCTCTTGTCCGCCAGGCCAAGATGAAGTCTCTGGAAATCCTTGGCGGTCTGAATGCCACCTCTGATCAAGGTCGTCCTAACATGAGCACGTGACCCTGGCACTCTTTGCGATAAATCGTCAATCC